CGTGTCGTGTTCGGGGCCTGGCGCGGGGCTTTCTCCCTCCGCAGCCCTGCCGGTCCTCGCCCGGGCAAGTCCCTTCCTGGCCTGAAGGAGGGCCCGGCGCTCTCGGGGCGGGGTTTGCCGGCGCCTTCTGCGCCCACCTTCGGCCCGGCCGGAGAGGCTGCCCGGAGGGCCTCCCTGTCCGCAGGGACCACCCCGGGAAAAGCCTCGTGTTCGGGGCCTGGCGCGGGGCTTTCTCCCTCCGCAGCCCTGCCGGTCCTCGCCCGGGCAAGTCCCTTCCTGGCCTGAAGGAGGGCCCGGCGCTCTCGGGGCGGGGTTTGCCGGCGCCTTCTGCGCCCACCTTCGGCCCGGCCGGAGAGGCTGCCCGGAGGGCCTCCCTGTCCGCAGGGACCACCCCGGGAAAAGCCTCTCTCCTCCCGGCCGAGGACGACGTGGCTTGAGCTGTTGGCCTTCAGAAGCGCGAAGGACTCCCGTGGGGGGGGGGGGAACATTGGGGGGGGCGGCGGTCTCCTTTCCGTGTCCAGAAAGGCCCGTCCTGCCTTTTCCCGTCGCCTCCCTAGGGCGTTGGGGGGCGGAGGGCGCCCCCCCCCCGGGACCTTGAGGCCTTGACGTCGGTCTTCCAGTTGTCTTTTCCTTTCCCTCCGCCTTCATCCCGGATCTCTCCCCTTCCCCCCCCCCCGTTCTTAACACCTGGTCGTGGTGCTCCTGCTGCTGCTGCTGCTGCTGCTGGGGACTCTTTGCTCGCCACCCTTTGGCGCCGCCGGCGGGACTCACTCCTCTGGGGCATCCTTCGAGTGGGTCTGGGCGGCTGGCGAGAGCTTCTTCTGTCCTGGCGCTGGCTGGCTGGGAGCCTTCCTCTGGCAGGGAGGCCGGTGTGTCCCGAGCAGAAGCCACTGGCCCACACGACGAGGGAGTGGGTCTCTGGGATGGGGAGGCTGGGAGTGTTCCCGAGCAGCTGCCTTGAACCCGCTGCCCCACACGGGTGTCCTCCCACGTGGTCTGCTACAGTGCGGCCACCACCTGCTGTGTCCCCTCCCCACTTTGGCATGGGGGCAGCGGATGTGCTCCCTTGATCCCTTCGAGTGGGGCACAGCTCCAGCCCAGGCTAGAAGAGGTGTGTGTGTGCGCACACGCACACTCTTAGACCTTGAAATTATTCTGAGGGAAGGCAAGAGGGACTCTCTGGTCCCCCCACCCCTGGACAGCACTTCTGGAGCCCCCTGGGCCTGACAGGAGGCTAGCTGCCCCCTTTCCTTGGAGCCCTCGTGGCTCAGCGCCTAGGAACCGATGCTCCCTGCTCCTGTATCTGTGGCGTGCTCTGGGCGAGAGGTACCTCACATCAAGCACTCTGTTTTTCTTTCTCCACCCCACTCCCACTCTTGCAGTGTAGGAGTCTGTAGGTCATCATTACATCCTTGAGAAAATAACACCCACATCTCCTTTTTGTCAAGGTGAAGGTGCAGATAGAGAGTGGGGGGGGGGAGTTTGGTTAGCGTGGAAGCCCTAGAAGTGGTGCCTGTGTGTGGGATCCATGTGGTCTTGTGGTGTGTGTGTGTGTGTTTTGGGGGGGAGGCTTATTGTTTAACCTGCATTAATGGTTGCTTTAGAAGTGGGAGCGGAGCCCAGCAATGGAAAGCTGGCCTGGTGCAAGAGCCCACTGGGTGCCCAGTGAGCCGGCCAGCAGCTCCTCCTGGCCTGCCTGGGAATCTGATCTGGACCATCCCTGCTTCCACTGGGCTGTTGTCCCCTGAGAAGATCTGAGAGCACAAAGCCTGTGGGAAAAATTGGAATCCTAAACTGGCTTTTCCGGTTCCAGGGTGAATGCAAGAGGTCTGAGGAATGTCTCATCTCTGGCAGGCTGTTCCCGCCCAGCTCTCCCGGGCAGCTTCTTGAAAAGAGAAAGGGGGTGTGGGGAGGGGAGGGGCCAGAAAGGATCCCTTTTGCTCCCCAGCCTGAGGTGGAGGGCCCAGGAGGAAAGGGCACCGGCTCTCCCCCTTCCTTTGGGGCAGCTGGATTCGCTTCCCAGACAGTCTGTGGGATGGAGGAAGAGAAGTGGCAATGGTCGGGGGGGGGGGCCAGCCTGATGAGCCCTGAGGGGGGGCAAGCCCTTAGGAGGGCACCATTCAGATGTGGGATTTGCATAGGAAATGCAAATGCGTGAGAATTAGTAAGCGGCCCTTGCCAGCAAATGGAGCCGTCCCTCATCCTCTGAAGCACGGCTGGCTCTGTGGTGGGTGTGGGGGCTTCCGTGCCTGCGTTTGTTGGCCCTCGTGGATGCCCAGGGCAAGTACATGAGATGGGAAGCCCAGGCGTGCCATTGCCGCCCTCACCGTCCCCCGGCACACACACACACACCCCGTGCGGGGCAGCCCTTTGCCTGGGAAGGTTGTGATGGGCGAGGCTGCCAGGAGGAGAGGTGCTCGGTTTGGACAGAGGGCCAAGATGGCCTAAAGGCTGGTGACCTTTTGAACAGCCGCCCAGGGTGCGCCAAGAGATGGGCGAGCATTTGCAGACTTTGGTCCTATTGAGCTGGGATGATGGAGGAGGAGGAGGAGGGCAATGGCGAGGATGCTGAGAAGAGGAAGAAAAATGTCCACTGTCTGTGCCTCCACCATGCAGCGCCAGGGAGGAGGTGGCTGGAGCAGAAGAAAGGGGGGGGGGAGGAAAGGCGCTTTGCCTTCGTGGTGTGTGTCCCAGGAGAAAGCATCATCCTGAGAGACAAACCTTGGACGTAGGGCAAAAATAGATGGAGGAGGTCCTTGGCCCGAGTGGGGAGGGGGCTGCAGCTGGATGGAGAGGAAACGAGAGGCCACGCGAACTTCAGGCATCTGCTGAGCCTTTCCAGAGAAGGCAGGGAGAGGCTGCCTGGGAATGCCAGCCTCAGCCGCCTGCTCCAGGGCGGCCTTGAATGCCACAGCTTGGCGGGTTTGCATTTCAGAGGGAGGGAGGGAGGGAAGGATGGAGGCCCCCCCCTTCTCCCTTTCTCTCTTGAGACGCAGCTCACTGTACCATGAAGGGGACGCTTCCGGTCAGGTTTTGAGCCAAGGGTGAATGGGACAGACTAGGAAATAGCGCGCGGGGTGTGTGTGTGTGTTTCAGTTCAACGGCCAAGGTGGGCCTTTGGCACCGGCCAATACGACAGGGAGGTCCCACAGGGATGATCCTCCGAAAAGCCTCTCCCCACCTTCCTCTGTCTGGCACGGAGTCGGGGGGGGGCGATGGCATCGTGCTGGGCCTTCCTGGCAGCTCGAGCAGGGCCTCTCCAGTGACTCAGTGGGACCACGAGGAAGGACGAACAGGCGGAGGCCATCTGTAGTGACTCCCGCATCCCCTTGGGCTTTTCTGGGGCTCTTCCTGGCTTGGGTGTCTCCTCGCTGGGCTGCAGATGGGTCGCTCTCCACACCCGGTCTTTGATGGGGCAGCCCTCGTCCCCTTCCCGGGAGGCTGCCACGAGCTCGGCTCTCCGCTTCCCTTCAGTAAATTGCCTCGGCTCTCGGGGCAAGACCAGGGCCCCGCTGCGCTTGGGCCTCAATTCTGCTTGGCACCCCCGGGTCGGAAGGGGGTCCCTCTTCCCTGGGGATGGGCAAAATTCCTGCCGCCCCTCCTGCAGAGTTTGGGGAAGGGGCCGGGTGCCCAGGGGTGGATCCCACGTGGGTTAAAAGCCCAGCAGAGCTGTCTCTGGCGAGACGATGCCCTGGTGGTGGTGGTCTTGGTGGGAGAACGGCCAGGCTGGGGCTAGTGCATGGTGTGTGCGGGTGCGTGTGTGTGTGTGTGTGTGTGTTGCCCTGCCTTCATGGCTCCCGCCCTCCCTCTTTCTTCCTCTCCCTCCAGGGCTGACAGTTGAGGAGCAGCCATGTCCGAGGGGGGGACCCGTCGGGACAGCACCAGCAGCCTGCAGAGGAAGAAGCCCCCCTGGCTCAAGCTGGACATCCCCCTTCCGGCCCCCGGGGTGGCGACCAGTGAGGAGCCGGCCTCGGTGCAGGTAGGGGTGCACCTGAGACCCGTCGGGCCGGGCAGGGGGAGCGCAACGGAGGCCTCCGGGCCGAGACCGTCCCGGCATCCCCTGGTGCCCCGGCCGGGGTGGGGGTGGGGGCTCAGTAGTATAGGGTCTCCTTGCTAGAATCGGGTTGAGAGGGGGTGATAGTGCCTGAAAAGAAAGTGGGCAGCTGATCCTGCCAATGTAGCAGGAGCCTCCTTAAGGATTTTAATGCTTCCATTGTTTTCTATGCCTGTTGTCCCTCTCTGAGTGATATTGTCGTCGGGGGGGAGGGTTGGGTTGGGGAGTGGAGATTTAAAACCGAGAAAGTGATGCCCAGGCATTGGTGACCAGAGCCAGACTGAGCCGCTCTCTCTCCCTCTCTCTGTCTCTGTCTCTCCCTGAGCAGCCTTTCAAACGCCAGGCCTTCCTCCGGAGCGTCAGCATGCCGGTGGAGAACGCCCGCCTCCCTTCCCCGCACCACGAGGGACGCCGGCCACTGCTCCAGCGACAGCTGTCCATCACCCAGACTATCCGGAGGTGAGAGGCGGGCGCCCGCAGCCCACCCCTGCCGGGCAGTGCCTCAGCGGCGCCAGGGGCAGCCAAGCCCTCTCCGGACAAGGGCTTCGAGGAGACCCCCTTCCTGCAGCCGGGGAGGCCTAAGTCCCGTTGCCGTGGGAGCAGCCAAGCCTCAGAGGAGGGGGGGGGACGGGGCAGGTGGCAAAGGGCTTGGTGTCCTTGGATGGAGTGATGCCTGCCTGGCCCAAGGGAAAAACATGGGGGGGGGGCTGTGGTGGCATCTCAGGTCAGGGCACACCTCCAGGCTCCGTACCCTCTCCAGAAAGTGAGGCCAAGGAGAGGCAGAGGGCACGGACCACGTGGACAATGCGGCTTGGGGGCAGAGAGAGAGAGAGAGAGAGAGACCCCCCCCCCCGGGCCAGCCTGTCGATCAATGGGCCACCCTTCCATAAACAACGCAGTCACCACAAAGCACGGAAGAGCCAAACACCAGCCTCGCTGCCTTTGTGAATGAGAAGCAGGACGCGCTGTCTGTGTGTGTGTGTGTGTGTGTGTGTGTGTGACTCCCAGGCCCACCCCAGCCAAGCCAGCGGGTGCGCCAGCTGCTCTAGGGAGGCAGAGAGTGACTGAGCCAGGGGGCCTGGACGGGTGGGGGGGAGTGACGGCGGCCCCCCCACCCCCCCACTCCTGCTGAGCTCTCTCTCCTTTGCAGCAGGCAGGTGCGTTTTGAGAGGA